AGGAACTAAGCGATACTATCTAAAGACCTAAATTCCTAATTCTTTTTCAGAACATCATATTTTGTATTTAGTTTCATATTTCCACAAACTAAAGCCATTTCTATATGCAGTGGATTCAGAAGGTATTCAGAGCCCTTCATTTTTGCACCTCTTCACTGTATTTTAAAAAAAATGAAATTAAGTCAATCTAGACTAAATATGCCATGACAACTTTCTGCAAATGAAACAGAAATTTTCTCACTTATACAAAATTGCAGCCTGATGTGTCAAGTTTAAATATCCTAGAGATATATCTACATATAGTTCACCTCCTTCTAAAATCCTCCATATGCTCAGAGTACAGCAAAAAGGTTAAAAACGCACAGAAAAATGATTAACGCTCATCGTGAGAAGCGACACACAAAAACAGTCATCATAGACAGACATGAGTGAGCCGATTCTCTTATTTGTTCAAATTTATTAGATATTCTGTTATGTTCCATTGTCTAGACCTTCTGTCACAGCTGAAAAGCCGTGAAAAAGAAAAAAAAAAAGGAACTAATTGTATTACATTCACTACTAATTCCCCTGAATGTTGCCTTATCAGAAAAGAGAAATTGAATACACTGTGAATCTTTGTCTTTCAAAAACAAAAAAGAAAAAAAAACATAAAAGAAAAAAAAAAAAAAAGAAACAGTAGATTTTGCAAGTGCTTATTCATGATTACAGAAAGAAAACAGTATTTTGGACTCCATCTGTTCCCTAAGCTTCTATCCCTCCCCTCACAGTCTGGCTGGCATCACTGGTAATGCTACAAATCTGTACATCACACAGCCTGCAGGGCGACTCCCCATCAGCATCAAACTTGCTCAGGCTTTTCACTCCTCGTCTGCGAATCTGAGGTCGAGCTGAGTCCAGTTGGATGTTGAGGAGAAGCCTACCATGGAAAGGACATTTCCCTTTTTGTCTGAGAGCTTCTGTAAAGCTCAGCTCAAACGTGATCGGAGAAGCAACTGTAAAGAAATAAAGAAAATGCCGAGCATGCAAATCTAGTGTTTTAGTAAATCCATTTGTCCTCATGTACTGGTGATATAACGGGTCCATGTCATGCTTGTACAGGTTTTGAAACGTCCTGCAACATCTATCCGCTCATCTGTGCAGCTGTACATTCATAAGCATGGATGAGGTACAGTTAAACCAACACAGCACGCTGTCCGTTACCTGCTTTCACAACAGCATAACCTCCTTAAAGTTAGCAGTACAGTATTGAATGACAAACCTGTGAATATCCCATTCAAGTCAGTGTGTGTATGTACAGTTTGTCCACCTCTATAATGGGCCTATCATCATAAAGTACACTTATAACTCTCTTTTCAACACAGATAGGTTATAACACAAACCTAAGAATTTTGGAGACACGCACCTGATCCAAAGTCTTAACAAAGCTACGTCATGATCATATAAAACATCACTAAATAGTTTTTTTTCCCCTAGAATTCGACAGGATCTGCGCTAAGCTCAAGACAAAGAGCTTCTGCTGTGATAAAACCTCAAGNTAGCATAAAAATCCAAATTTATCAGATAATCTCAATTTTGAATTAGTGGGTAAAAATGTCAATAGTATGAGTACATATAAATTACTAATTTAGGATTCTGATTTAAGTTAGAAAGAAGAATTAAAAGGTAAAAACTATGAGATAAAGTCAAAAGGGGCAAAGTTCAGAGGGAAAGAGGGTGAAATTCTGAGTATAACTATAACTTATACTTCATAAGTCAAAATTGTGACTTACCACAGTTTCTTTTTTAATTTTTTTTTTTATCACAACCAATTCTTTTATTTGTATTTTTTCTTTGCAGAAAAAAAAAATCCATATTCTCAATACATTTTGGTGTTCAGTTTAAGCGTAAAAGCTTAAAGATATAATACTTTATGAAACACTAAGCCCTTTTAAAACTTCACATTTACCACCCAGACATTTTGAAAAACATAAAACACTCAGAATAATACCTTGTCTAATTTTCTTTCACCATAAAGAACTAAACAATAAACTTGCTCTTTGTTGCACATACACCGAGGTACTGAGGTGGATACACTTTTGGCCCAGAAACTTCATTCAACGGCAAATTTTGATTCATGGTGAATTTGTATTCGACCATTCAACCAAGTTTCTTCTTGCCATCATGGTAAAGATGTTAATAATACATTTGAACTACTGCTATTGAATCTTAAAATTCTGTGTCCAAAGTTGTTCATATCTTTTGAAATTGTCACCACTTTTTGAGAGAATGCATCTTCTATTTCTAAGTTAATCCAAATGATCCTGTGCTATGCCATACTGTAAAAAAACAATAATATATTTCAAATCGCAAGTTTACAGAAAAGCATTACAATTTTACAGTGGTCTTTGGTTTAACATTGTACAGAGAAGTCTGTAAAATTACAGACGTTATTTGTTAATTAACAATTCAACAGTTTTTTTATGTATTTTATCACTAATGCCAAATGAAGAAAACAGACTACACTATTTTAACATATTTACACATTTATATTTTATGCTTTCTCAACCACGATGTGCATAAATATGATTATATTGTTATATTACTAATATTATAACCAGGAGGTTGTATGATGAATGAAAATTAAAAGTATTCAGAGATAGTTTAAAATAAGAGACAGTCACCATGTCTTAAGAGGAA